TTCGCTCCTGTCAGCTTAACAGCCTTCCGGCCGCCTTCTAGACCCTCAAAACGGCCAAATATATGTTACTTGTCGACTAAGGTTCGTTGGTAGTCGAAATTCCCCTTCTGGTTGGCCGATATTCTCTTTTTATAACCTTTGGAACTGACTTACGTACGCTGGGCGTAAGTCGGTGTACGTTGGGCGTAGTTAGAATCCCATCGCGATTAGGAAGTCCGGACACCAAACCCAGTACACTGGGCGTAAGTGAAACTACGCGGGGCATACTCCTTGTTTCACCAGTACGCTTACCGTAACTTATATTACGTTGGGCGTAATGGCAGCCTTCAACATATTTTCTTTCTTCTAGCTTCTAAGCCCGATTTCCGCTCCAATCTTTTCTTTTCCGCTCTATCGACAACTAATAGTTGTAAATTATAATTCAAAGCATTATAAGTACTTTTTAGTTCTAAATAAGAATAATAAAGGCTAGAATAATAAGATATAATGTATAAAAATATGTATAAAAATACACATATCACCCAACACTAAATCTCATCCTAGGTTTTCCTAGGGAAAACTCCACACCACTCTCTGCCATCAGTTGCAGAAGAAACTCCCGCTAACTTCCTTTATCTAGCTCACGAATACAATTATATATTACCAAAACTAGATAATTCTTCGAATGAGAGGTCTCACATTACAACAGTTGGGCTCAAACAAGAGCTGTGCAATAGAGTTAAAACCTAACCCTCTAAAATTATTTAGTTCCCATAATATGTAACTTAGTATATTCGCTCACTAGTTAGTTGAATCTAGTTAGAATCCCTAAAAGCACAAAGCAAGCAACATTCGAGCATCAAGTAACCAGAATCAAGCACAACCTAATCAGGTCATCCTATTACTGACGGATCAGTACTAGCTTGCAAATCTCTAAGCTCATACAGCAGGCATAAAAAGGCATCTCTCCTAGATCTCTAGCCCAAAACTAGCATGCGATCACAATTCACAGTTCAATCATATCATAAACACATATGGGTATTTTGGGATAACTTACTTGAAATCGGCTGATTGCACGCACCACACCCTTTCTTATTTTAGAACAACTTTTCTTAAATATGTTTATCTTTTGAAAACCTACCAAGTCCTCAGTTTGAGTTCAGACACCCCCGAGAGTGTGCCCGAATCCCTCAAACTAAGGCTCTAATACCAACTTGTAATATCAAAAATATGGTCCCACAAATTTTTGTTTGATAATAGATAAAATAGTATTTTCAATTGCCATCCATACAACTCAACAAATCATTGTATCAAATATATCAAAATCAGAGTAATTATAAAATGCGGAATTTCCATGGTGTATGCGGTGCAGTCAGCTCGAGCCCTTCCCCTCGGAACCGGAAGTACCTGAAACACAAACCAAATCCGTATGCACAAAGCTTAGTGAGTTCCCAGAGATACCGCATACCAAACATATCATATAACGGGCCCTACCCAAGGAGATACGGGCCCCACCCACACTCACATAACGGGCCCACCCAAATGAGATACGGGCCCCGCCCACACTCGCATAACGGGCCCCATGCAAAGAGATATGGGCCCCGCCCACACTCATAATACGGGCCCCGTATAGTAAGCATACATATACAAGCACATACAAGTATCACACAAACAAAAAGTATATCACATAATCAACAAGGGTCAGCTTTGGCGCCTTAGACCCGCTAAACCCGGTAAGGAAAACTCACCTCGAAAAACTGAATGAAGTAAGTGATCCCTGACTGCTAATCCCACGGCTCCCCGAGCTATCAATTGACAAATAAAAGCTAATTAACATTAGGGATCTATACCATAACCAAAAATTCCTACTTGGGGTAAAAGACTATTTTACCCCTAAAATTACTTGGTCCAAGAATGAAGCCCTAAATCACATTCCAATGGCCCAAATAAAAGACAATCCAACAAGGCCAAACATATGGCCCTATTTCCAATTGGGCCTAATTCCTTCACATGGGCCCTAGCCTAAGACCCAATAACGCTTCCCTAACCCAAAGGTTCGATTCCAGATGGCCCACTAAGGCCTAAGATACAAAGTCCAAGAAAGTAACCAAAACTGAGGCCCAAACGATGCAATCCCAAATCCATTGAGTACGCGGGGCGTACTCATCTGTATGCTAAGCGTATAGGTTGCATGGCTTGTACGCCCAACGTACTCACTCACTAAGCCAAACTTCTAAAAAAGCTCTTAAATCCTTAAGACTAAAGGTTCCAATCACATATATGAGTCATATGAAGTTTCTTAAACCATAAAGTCGACAACTTCGTGGCTTGCATGCCCGCAAATGAACCCAAACTCGAAATATGACAATCTACATCCATAAAATGACCAATACTCATGCATGGATGGTTCAAAGCCTCAAAAATGGCAACTTTATGACTCTAGGACTGAGATAAAACCAAGAGTAGCAACTCAAAGCTCCAAAAATGACAAGAGCTCACAAGATCTCATCTATGGGACCAAAAGACCCAAAACCTCAAACAAGGAAGATCTAAGCATTAACAAACAAAGTTCTGAGCTTTATACCTCAAATGAGTGCCAAATAATGGAGATAATTCGGATCTACAAGCTCAACTCCAAAGGCTCTCCTTCACTAACTTCTTCTTCTTCTTCTTTCCAAGGCACCAAACTACCAAAAATGCACTCCACAAGGTCAAAAACACACCAAGATGATAAAAGGGGGCGATTGTAGGGTTTCTAGACAAGAGAGGCTGACCCATGGGACTTTATGACATTATATAAGGCTTGAACCCTAAAAATTAGGGTTTTGGTCCTGACCACTTACGCCGCGCGTACCTCTTTGTACGCTTAGCGTACGTGCATGGCTCCGCGATTCTAAATGGACCACTTACGCCCCGCGTACGCCAGGCTTACGCCCAACGTACGGCCTCAGCAAGCCCACTTATATAAAGCCCAATACTTTTAGCCCACACAACTTGCATAATTAAACAATTAGGTAAACGATTAAATAATTACATAATACCTTGAAACCATCAGGTGTTACAAGAAATTTGCAGTTAAGCAGTTAGTACCAAATTTCGATCCCGTATCGGTACCGAATCGTACTGAATTTAAACATATGAGACAATAATCGGTAATCTAAAATCATAAAATTCAGGATTTGGTACCATCAGTATCGGTGCTAATACCGAAAAATAATACAATTCCCGGTACTGGTAATGTTAATTTAGTTCATTACTCTGGATTGAATTTTGATCAAATTCGGTTTTCAGAGAATCGGGAATGGTACAGGTCAGTACCAGTTTCATCCCATGCTCATCCCTACCCTACGTGTAGATGGTGTGTGTGTGTGTGTGTATATATATATATATATATATATATATATATATATATATATAAGAAAACTTTTAAAAATAGATAAAAATATGGAAAACAATAATTACCCCTTTCCTACGTTCTTTATAACTTTATAAAGGATTATTGATATAAAAGTCTTTGAGTTTGTCATGTTTTTTCGGTTTTGTCCCTATGATGATTTTTTGATCATTTATGTCCTTAAGTTTTACAAAAAAAAAAACTTTTTTCCCATTTTCACCTATAATAGTAAGGTTAATATATTATTTGCAAAATTCCATTAAATTTACAAATATTTTTCAAAAAAACTCTTAAGTTTACAAATCTTTATGTTGTTAAGGATTTTTCGAATTCGTATTGATGAACACGGAGTGACATCGCTTCCTATAAAGACCGAATGGAACAAAATTATTTCTAGTAAGGTTAATATATACCGATAAAGAGTTTTCTTGGAATGTTTGCCTACCAAAACAAACTTGTCTAGCTGTAGTATTGACATTATTTGTTTCTTATGCCCATTTGTAACAACTCTACGGAAGATAGCTGACATGTGGTCATCGAGTGTAAAGTGGCGTCCTAAATTTTTCTTAAGATAAGTTGTTGGCGTGATATAGACTTACTTAATTTTATTCTTATTCATGATATATACCTGGTTTTTTAGATTCGTTGCATATGTCTGTAGCTCGTAAAGCAGTTTTGGAGTTGATCATTGTCACTACGTGGTGGTCAGTTTGGAATTTCATAAATAGATGTGTCTTTGATAAAAATAAACCGACAAATTATAAAATTTTTGATGGCACAGTTTCGATTGCTTTTAGTTGGATAGTTCATAGGAAGCATTAGTTTCAAGTTAAATGAAACGATTGGCTTTAGAATCCTCTTTTAAACTTGATGTAATTTGTTCGTTTTTGCTCGAACTCTTTGTTAGAGTGTTGTTTTTTTTTTAATGCATTCAACCGTTAAAAAAAATCCTTAATTCGTATAATATTTAAAAAAATAACAAAATACCGAGGGTAAAAACATAAAATATTTATAATCTTAAAGGTTTTTTGCAAATAATATTTCATGGTAACCTGGAAACCTTTAATTATAGGTCAAAAGGACAAAAGAAAAATATAAATAAATAAATAAAAAATAAAAAAAATTACTTCGAAAACTTAAGAATATAAACCAACAAAAAATCATCAAAACCATAAAACCAATAAAACTTGATAATTAAAAACAGAAACAACCTAAAAGTCTTATTACAAAATTTGTCTTAACAAACATATATATTATCATGTTAATTATTTAGCATTCCCTGCAAATTTGAGTTGAACTTATAAAAGTAAACAAGATCTACCGTAAATGAGAGTGATAATTCTAGTGTTAATTATATGCTTAAATTCAACATTAAAATATGTATGTTTTGTAGTAACAAGCTTGAAATCAGCAATGGGATCAACACAAATAATGATATGATGAATTGATCACATCTGAAATTGTTTCCTTAGATCCTAAGCTAAATAAACTCTGACCAAGAAGGCCAATTTTGATGAATAGAACATCTCCATCCTTAGAACAAAAAAAGAAAGTAAAAGGAAAGACTTCCAACCTGAAGAATCACTCAATTCTATAATCCTTTGACTCCAAGATATAAAATCCTAACCTACTTTTTGGGCACGCCAATCCTCATGAGAGCCAAATAAGCAACAACCCGATAAAATACTAGCATTATAGCCAGAGCAACAAAGGAGATCACTTGGTTATCGAGCCCAATACTCTTAATAGCTGGATAATCATCAACCAAACAAGTCTGGTTACCGCATGGATATGTCTGGCCATGCTCATATTGTGATCCTATCAAGAGCTTGTAAGTATGTTGACTGATGGATATGTATTTGATCCACGATATGAAAGCTGGCACATTTTGAACATAGTATCCACCTGCTAATGTGAAGGATAGCATGATCACCGACCCTAAAACTGTGGCTGATTTCAGGTCCATGACGAGTGCACCTAATGCAAGTCCTAGCCCTTGTGACACCATCACGCTTAACAGAAGTGTGAACAAGGCATACAAGAAACTTTCCAACGCACGTTTCAATCCAGCCATCCAGTATGTTATGATGCAAAACACTGTGGGCAGAGCTAACTCCATTGGAAGATCTGCTAATGTTCTTGACATGAAGTAAGATGAAAGCCTGTACATTCCAGAAGATCTTTCTTTTGCAAGCATCTCTCGTTCTTGAGGGAATGTGAAAATTGCTTGAAATAAAGGAAAGAACCCCCAGAATCCAGAGTAGAAGAACAACAATCCAGACTGCCAAGAAATTACGATTTTGACTCATCAAGAATTTATTAATTATATTGGTTGTTAGATTATATAGTATTTATATGAATTGAAACTTGAAAGGCATATATACCTGATCCTGTAAATGAGCCACATCCGATTGCCACCATAGTAAACCACAAAGAAATGCAATTATTAAAACCTGACCAATCTTAAGACTGTCGAAAGATTCATGTCTTCTTTCTTTGAGGCCTCTTCTGAACAAAACCACGAATTGTTGCCACCAAGTCGTGCTCCATCGTTCAGACTTTTTGTAGTCTGAAATATCATCCTGGTGATCATCAGCTTCAAGTGTTTCAGCTTCCAGATTCTCTGCTAGATTTGACGTATAAGCCGAAACCAACTTCTGTGTGACTGTATTTTGATCCTCCTGACTAGAATCATCGGATGAAATCCCTGTTTTACAAATAATAAAGTTAGTAGTTTTAATTAATGTAAATAGATACGATCAGTTTTAGTCAACAATTAATACACATACCATTTGCAAGATCTAGTAAAAAGTCGGAAGGATTCATGGCAACCGATGGTGAGAACCCAATATGATTAAAATAATCCATAACTTCTGATCCTTTTCCAAAAAACAATGGATTCCCTTCTGATAGCAACAACACCTTATGAAACATGTAAAAAAGCCTACTCGAAGGTTGATGAATAGTCATCACAACTGTTCTTCCTCCTCTTGCTAAATCCCATAGCGTTGAAACAATCCTTTGAGCAGTTGTTGAATCTAGCCCAGATGTTGGTTCATCCAAGAACAACAAACTAGGGTTTATAAGCATTTCTTGCCCGATACTAACTCTTTTGCGCTCTCCACCCGATACCCCTCTTAAAAGCGGGCCACCTATAATGCTAGTCTTGCATCTTGTTAACCCGAGTTGATTAATCACAGATTCGGCATGCATAACCTTTTCTTGACTAGTGAGACTACGGGGAAGGCGGAGTAAGGCGGTGAACACTAGGGTTTCGGTGACTGTCAAGTGAGGGTATAGAACATCATCTTGAGTAACGAAACCAGTGTTTCTCTTCATTATACTAGAGAACGATTTGCCATTGTAAGTCACTGTCCCACCGAGTTTGCCACCTAGTCGGCCACCTAGTGCTGTCAAGAGCGTCGTTTTTCCACTGCCAGATGGCCCTAACATCGCCAACAATTCTCCGGGCAACACCTTCCCTGTAACCCCTTTCAGTATCTGCTTTTCTATTGATTTGTCGCTGTTCTTCTTCAGCCATCCTTCGTTCTTGATTCTGATTGTGTAAACCACTTCCTGAAACTGTTCAATCCCATAATAATAAAAGTTACTTGTTAATTAATTAATCATATTAAATTACGTTTCAAGAACTGTTATGACTATATATAAATCAAAGACGTTATCTGCGGTTCGATATTCGTTATTAATGTAGATGTAAATGCGATTAAAGAATACGTATAGATAACAATTACACCAATAGAAGTCAATTAGCAGACTTAAATTTTCAAGAACTCTTCCAGAGAAAGAAGATACCGCTTTTAGTTAGATCTAAAGCAAACGGCAAAAACCCCATTAGCAACAAGTAAAAGGAAAATCATTAATTTATTTAAAAAAGGTTAAAGACGAGTAAAGAAACTGTAGAAATCTTAAAACCCTCATGAATGTTTAGAGAAAATCATAAAACCCTAGAATGGAATACAATGCTGTTTTTGTTCTAATGCAAGATTCAAGAACAAAAAGAGACCATGCATAGCTCATTATTGCATCTTCTTGGGGAAAAGAAAAACCCTATATAATTAATGGAAGATGTACATGATCAGTTGTAGAATATATATGAAATCATTATTTGAAAACAAAAGAGAAAGGCCATTAATTTATTGCTCATCTTGTTCATGCAATCAAGAATTAAATAGATGAAGAGCAAACCTTCAATATGACTGGACGATCAACTTTGTTGAAGATCGATGAAGGAGATGAAGATTTTCCATACGACGATTGTGCCTCTATATCCACCATCTGTGCTTCCATAATCAATATTTTTCAATTCAAATCGATAACAAGATACTCAATAAATCGTTTATGAATGTATGACTATATGTGGTTTTATGCCCCTCTCTTTCTAGAAACACAATGTAATTATGTAAAGTAGGAATTCAGATTATAGGATAAAGAAAAGATGGACGTGGGTACATATGTGTGTGTGTGTGTTCGTGTTGTGTTTTGGCTACGAACAGGTGTGCCAGCTATATATGGCTTATTCCCTTTTATTTGCGCATCTGGTGTGGTGTTTTGTTTTAAATGTAATTAGGGATTGTGCTTCTTTTGAAGTACCTCTTACGTTTGGAAAAAAAAAAAATACATTTATATCATAGTATATGGTCAACATTATCACCCTTTTCGGTTTGGTTGAATTAACTCTTAAACTATTTTCTATAACAAAATATTAATTTCTCATCAAAGATTTAATTTATGTTCACATTATTATTTTGATAATGTTGATCCCGAAACGATTTTTGCTTTTTAAATTTTCTTTTTCATCTGCTCAAATTCACGCCGGGTTATTAATATTTACTTTATCAGTCAATTTAATTTAATTCAAATAAGTTTATACATTAAAAAAAAACTATCCTCCATAATAAATCAAAATTTTTTTGTGACATGTCATCTTCTTATTCATTTGGACACATGACATTTTCTAGAATTTTTGAATTTTCTATTTTCCACTTTTCATTTTATTATATTTTTTATTTTATTAAATTAAAATTCCACATTTTATATATAAAGTAACTAGGTTATAACATGTGTGTTACACGGTTGACAAATTAAATAACATAAAGATTATAAAAATCCCAATACATAACAAAAAATTTGTAAATAGTTATTTTTATACAACATTTGGTGTTTTGTTCATAAGTCTATCATCATTATTTTTAATTAATATGTAAAATGGTTTCAAAATTTCAGTAATATTCTTTAACTCAAGATTAATAATAAAATCATCATGTTATAAAATGTAATATAAAATTTATTAGACAGAAAAAAAAAACAAAGACAATCATACATGGTAATACAATTGTTTTATTTAAAATCGGAAATTAAGGTAATATAAGAAATATAAAATGAATATAAAATGAAAACATAAATTACAACTCAAAATGATGGTGGTCAATTGTAGGAGCATATTAACATGAGGGAGAGGGAGGTTGGTTGCGAGCAGATTAGCACCAATGATAGTATGAGATCAAACATACAATGACTATGTTATGCCTCTTTGATTTCATCAAATGGATGTTGTTTGTAATAAACTATTGATCAAATGATAATTTGATAACGATTTAGTGAAAACTAAACTCAGACTGTTGAGAGGATGGACAAATTTTTTATTGAACCATGCCAATAAAGACTCTTTTTAAAAAAAATGATCTATTTTTTATTTAAGCCTAACAAATATGACAACACTATATTGTTATGATTTAAAAATATAAGAAATATTGCTTACCCATCACATAAATTTTCTAATAAACCATGTTGATATGTAGACTTTGTCATGATTAAATGTTTTTGGCAAACTTCCTTAAAATACCTGTACTTTTGTTTTGTTGCATGTTATCTACTTATCTTGGACGTCTCATAGAGGTTAATCGAGGGTGGGAAGATTACAGTCTTCGATTTAGGCGACGAGTTGATTTTTTTTTTAAATAAATTTTAGGATCGTCTATGAAGATAACATATAGTAGGGCTAAGATGTAAGAAACATGATGGATCAATGATTACAGTAACATTTATTTAACCTATAATTTCTGAGCATAATAATGAAAAAATGTTATAACAAAGATTATAAGTTAAAAATCAAAATGACAAACATTGGTTTCTAGATTTTCAAATATAAAAATATAAAAATTCCATCATATAAAAGCATCCACGATTGTCAACCTCAACCATAATTTGTTTTTATTTTTGTTTTTTGCTTTTTGTTTTTTTGGTTGTGTTTTGTTTTTGTTTTGTTTTTGTTTTGTTTTGTTTTTTTTTTCATCAGAATTCTACTAATTATATTAAAAAACCATTAACTTAACTTTAACTATTTACTTAATAATAAATTATTCAAACTAATACTTTTTCTAATAAAATAACAAAGGGAAAAAAGATATTGGTTGTTATATGTTGTTGATTTTTGAGCTAACTTTGTTGCAATAAAACAGTTTTCAAAAGATTTAACCTTGAATGTCATCTTCTTTAAAATAAAAGAGATAAATTTATGTTATGGTTTGTTACGTCAAAGGAATAGTTCATTATATTCTTCTAAAAGAAGTGAGAAAGTTTAAATATAATGTGATGGATATGAGAAATGAGAAATGAACCCAACTACTTTTTATTAGTACTTATTAAAACATATCTTATATATTGTAAAAGTGAAAAAAATAAAAAGTTAAAATCATATTTATCATTTTTTGTTTGGGTGTTGCTTGTGTTTTTATAATGTTCATTTTTACATGGAATTTCATCTAATAATTTTATTTACGTTGCAATATATCTCAAAGAAAATATCAAATGGATATTTAGGATTAATTATGAATTCATCTGTACACGGCTGAATCACATTCTCCATAATATGATAAGAAATTAAGTTTAGCAAGTTCATTTTGTTCTTTAGTTAACATATCTCATAGCTTACTGTGAAAGGAAAAACTCATTTTGATCCATTTTTATGTAAAAAAGATTGAAATTGTGATTTTATATAAACTGAAAATAAAAGAAAATATGTACATAGGTTTATAAAAGGACTTCACATATATAGTTAGATCAAAAGTACATTGTTAAAAAAAGTTAAATTAAAAGTATGTTGTTATATCTAGGTAGATTATTCAAAGTGCAATACTTAATAAGAAAAAAACTGAAAGTCAAAGCAGATGATTTTCCATAATTTTGAAATATAGTAATTTGAAACATTACTACTTCCAGCAGTTTATAATGTTACATCAATAAAAAAAATGACTTTCTAAGATTTTCAAATAGGGTCATTTAAACATTTGGATCTCACACAAAGGGTAAAATATCATTTACTTTATTCAGATGGTCCATTATGTGTAAAAAATAGCATTTGTTCATGCAAGATGCAACACTTTCCCAAACAATTAAATACTCCAGCTACTCATCATTTCCTTAAACTTATTTTGAAACACAAATAACATCAGGCCAGACTTAACACTTTTGTAGTACATCCTCCTTGCCCTCCATAGTCCTTGCCCCACTTATAACCACCAAATGAGTCGCTTCATCCCCACTTACGACCACACACAACTGAACTTTAGTCCTAACTGGAGCTCTATCCTGGTTCTCAAAACCTGCTGTCTGAGAGTCTCGAAGGCTGTCTGCTGCTTAGGCCCCCAGCGAAAGGCCACCGACTTCTTGGGCAGTCGGGACAACGGAACCGTAATCTTGGGGAAGCCCCATATAAATCTCTGGTAATAACCCGCTAGACCCAGGAAACTCTGAATCTCAGTTGGAGACCTCGAAATCTCCCACTGCATCACGACCTCTATCTTGGACGGATCGACCATAATACCCTTCTAGTTGACAAGGTGCCCAAGAGATTGCACCTTGCGCAACCAGAACTCACATTTGGAGAACTTTTACAAAAAGTCTCTCCTCCACTTAGATTTGACCAAGTCTTCACGGCACGCGAGAATTGAAGGATTCCCAATCCTTCTTGCTTTTTAATAATCCACTGCTGACTACATGTGCTTACCAACTCTAGTGATCACTTACAAGTTAAACCTTAAGATCGGACATCCTCTGAAATCTTGAAGAGTACTCTTGAAATCTGGTACAGTCTGACACATCAGTCCATCTACCATGCTGTCAACTAAAGGTCTTAATCTTCACTCTGGCTGACTAATCCTCGCTCCTACTTCCATACTTGCAATACCACTGAACTCTAACCGAACACAACCCATGCAAAAATACAACTCTCTTGAACATCTGATGACCAACCACTTATACATCTAACACTCGAAACTGACACTACCCTCTTCATGTTATCAGTCCTGTCCTACCAACGGTAGGGCCTTGAACGCTGACTTCACTAAAGAACTGTCGCTATAACCCTGACCGAGTATCCTCTAAATAATACTCCTGCACAGATCTCGACAAAGATCCGAAATGATAACAGTACACGCAGAACCCACTCCGCAAGATGCGTCCCTCTGTGGGTTCATCAAGGACTTTTCGGCATGCAGGATGGCATATATGATCCTTGATAACCCAAACACTAGCAGAAAAACTGACCCGAGATCTGACTTATCCAAACTGTCTCACAACTCCAAAGCGATACGTATTCCCAACATCCACCTATTAGTAGCAGAAGATGACATACCCGCAACATCTGGAGGAATCCTGATCACCTTCTGCTGACATGACCAGCCATGCCACACCTGTAGCAGCCTAAACCCTTGGAGCGACAAACTCCCTTGTGCACTTTCCCGTACGTGCTACACTGACTCAGGCCCTGCTGGTCCTTCACCCGATGATCAGAAGTCATGGGTCTCTCTCCGAGACCTTCTACTATACGCACCTGACACGACCCTCTCTTCCTAGGGTTCTCCAAATTGATATCGCATCTGCAACTCTTGGGAATCATACACTTCAGGGTCTGACACCCTGTCACTCTCACTAGCTCGCTTGCCAATGGCTAAGCTGCAACAACTGGAACATCCTCTGTCCCCAAACTGGGTCACAAACTCTTCCCTGAAGCTTCTCAGATTCTCCAAGACTCTCACCGATTTGAGTATGGATCATGTGCTTTCATTACTACGGGCCCAATACTACCTTCCACATCGATCCATACTTTCCTCAGCAATCCTCCCGAATCCTCCAAGTCACTTCCTCAAACTGGTACACCCAAGTCTCACTAAGCCTCACTACTAACCCACTAAAACATATCCTAGGCTTTCCTAGGTTCCCGTACCCACCTAGTCTTCAGCTGCTGAAAGATTCCCAGTAACGTCAACTAGCTACCT